ACCCATGAGCTTTAATGCCTTGTCCATGTTCCAACAGATCATCATAATATGCGCTATCAAAGCCCAGTGCTACTATCACTAATTCAGGTTCATATTCTCGAGCAATTGGTAGCACAAGATGTCGTAATGCTCCAATATAATCACCTTCTGTATTCATTGCATTATTTAAAGGAATAGATACTATATTACCTAAAAATATTACAACTCAATTTCTGCATCAAAGAATTTTTCCTTTTTTTACAAAACATTAAACAATAATAAATAATAAATTTACGATTCTATTAATTTAATTACCTTAAAATTGTAATCTATGATAATTGGTTTGAATGAACTTATCATTACATATATGAAAGCATAATTAATTAAAATATTCGTTTTAAGTTAAAGACAAAGCTGTATCAGTAAATGAAAAAATCTTTTTACATGCTCAATTTTCAATATACTCTCCCAATGACCAAAATATTCGTTTTGTATTTTAACGTACTGCGTAACAAATGAGGATTATTTCACAGTTTGTCACAAACGTCGTAAGTTTGATAGCACCTTCTAACCTCATATTTATAATTTTGTAAAAATCTTTGTTACCAGAGTTAAAATTTGAGCAAAGTGGAAAGGGCTTTAAGGGGTTTAAATGAATGTAACTCAATAAAGTTCAATCAGTAGCTGACTGCACTTATAGCCACTTTATGAGTTTTTTTAAATAAATAGAAATTTAACATATTTTAACCAAATTTATTATCGTAATCATATTCTTCTTCATATGGCCAGAAAGCTCCATAGTGATAAGCATGAAAATTTACATATAAAAATCGGTTATCACCTTTGAATGAATGATATAATCCATTGCCACAATGATAGTCTAAGTCTACTACAAGTATCTGTAAAAATTACAGGCATTTCACATTGTGCTTACTTTCAATTTCAACTAATAATGCTTGCATGACATTCCACAATCATTAATTAATTAATTAAACGTCCTTAATCATAATTTTATTAGCTGTTATCTCTTCATTGTATAGCTTCTCTTTACTCCAATTAAATATCATTTTGAATATTTGTAGCTGCAAAAAAAGAAATTTTAAATAGTCGAGAGTAGTTAAAAATGAATTTTAAATTTTCCATATTTTTGAGACAAATATTTTATTCTATTCAGTCAGAAATCAAATTACTTAAGCATTACTTTTCTTATGTTACACTTTTCAACTGCATATTTAGCACCAATTGCAATATTATTAAATATACAAAATCCTTGTGGAAGTTTTCCATAAGAATGATGACCAGGTGGTCGAACAATAGCAAAACCATTAGAAATTCTGGAATTTTTGCAACTAACAAATTTGAATTATGTTTGCTTCGCGTTAATTTTTAAATTAGCAATTCAAAGCAACTGAATAAACAAACTCAAAGTATCCAAGTAAATGAATTATAAAAATTAGAAAATAAACAATAATATTTACAGTAAAATACTAACTTTCCTTCAATATTAGCTCTAATGAAATCAATCACACCACCAACTACTAAACGAGCAATTCGAACACTCTCAGGACAAAGCCAAAGTAGTTCATGACCTTTACAATACTCTTCCAATTCTTGAACTGTTTGCATACTTTCAAGTTCTTCAATCAGTTCTTTAGGATGGTTTAAGTTAAGTTCCCAATCTTCAGCTGGACGCAATTCAATCTATGAATGATCGTGTCAAATTTGAAGCTATTATTTGCAGGAATCAATTTTTCAAGAAATTTTTACAAATATTATAAAACTGATCTGAGAAAAGTTTAGCGTTAATTTTATTTAAAAAGAAGAAGCAATATAACGAAAATAAAGCAAATGTGACAGAAATAAATGGAACATTCCCAATCTTTTCAAAAGTGCTTTATTTTTTGGTTTTACATGCAAGGATAAGTACCAAACTGTATTATTGATCGCATTTTTTTTTTGTAAAAAAATTCGTATCAAAAATGTGGTCAATAGTTTGCAATCTGACCGATACATTTTTCGTTTTCTACAACTTCAAGTTTTCGTCTCTGTGTCAAATTCATTCTTTTTTCTGCTGAAACAACAAACTTGTGTAGCATTGTTAAGTAAGCCATCATGCTGAAGTCTGGAATAAATCAACACGGTTCGTTCTGGTCGTTCTTGAGTGTTTTTTTTCGGATCGTATGGATTTGCGTGAAGCTGCATTATGTCATCATACACATAACCAAACATAATAAAAACTGCCTGAATTGCAGACTTGATCAGATGTAATTCGCAAATAAAAATGCAAGAAAAATATTCGAAACTCAGGCTCTGACTGTAGAATTTTTTTTGAACTAATGAAATTTAATAATTAAAAATGTGACATAAATACAGATAGAATAAAGAACACGAAATGGTAGAAATGTGACGAGAAAAAGAAGTGTGATATGGCTATTTTTAATGATTCTAATTTTTGAAACAGAATAGATATTAAGCAATAAATATCTCTTGGTGTAGAAGCAACTATCAGCAAATTTTTGATGAAAAAGAAAGCAATATTTGAAAAAGCAATTCATTAACTACTAATACTGTTTTAAATAATAAACTGAGTAATATATTCATATACTAAGAAGCATATATTGAAAAATTTATTACCTAATTGCATTATTATCAGTTGTGATAAGAAGTAATGAAATATCAAAAAGTAGTTTATGCTAATGAACTGATGCAATAATTTTGATAATAGTAAAGTATGGCAGAAATAAAAATTTTAACGAAAGAGAGAGTTTTGCGATAATTTTAAAATAAAGAAATAATCTCTTCCAGCTTAATTTCTTTACTATAGAGTTCTAAGTAATACTTCAAGGCACTGCTTTCTTGAATTCTTTTATTTCTGGCCTTTAAGAAGTATACTACCTTATTTGCACATCATGAATTATTCATCTCACCATGAATTCTTTCTGAGCAAGACTGACAATTATGAGTAAATGAGATATGAGAGTCAAAATTTGTTTACATGAGTTAAAATCTACAATACGTCAATTAGTAAATCCTTCGAAGGCATTAATTCCCACGCCATTTGTTTCAATGCATTTATTTTTGTTATTATTATATTTGTAGTGCATTTTTCCAGTTCAAAGAATAAATTATTACGGAAGGTCAGCATGTAATATTTAATAGAATCATATCATTATTTTACATAAGATATTAGCAATATCAATTTTAGTTTAATTTGCATATACTAAGATTCATTACCATTTTCGTTCGTTATGAAAATTCCATAATGATATAGTGGAAGAGCATACTCATACAGCTTAATGATTTTTCGGCATTCAAAATTGGATTTTTATCTGATGAATGATTCTTGATTTTAATTTTGATCGAGCAAGTATAGTCATTTATTTTAAATCATGACTTTACACAATTACTTATCTCTAATGAAAGAGAGTGATTATTAGAAATAAAGTTACAGTAAAAATCATCATATCAATTTTTATTTCATAGTGTAAGTTTTTAAAATCAGTTTCTGATTAAATCTCACATTTGTAGACATTTATTAAAATAATTATAAATCCCTTACATTGTATACTATCAGTGAACTTTTAACACGTACAGTTACTGCAGACTGTTAGTTTTAAATGTATTTATTCATTACATTTTCGAATTTGTTATAAAAACTTGTATTGCTTCAATCAATAAAACAAAATCTAATTTTTGAAATATGATGTTTAAGCAAATAATTTTTCATTTTTATTTATTTCACGCCATCACGGTAATATATGCGTCACGTAACGATTTATAACACTTCGAGTTAATCTTGGTAAGTTTGTGACAATACCAGCAAGCTTTGTAAACGAAGACATCAAGCAACAAGAACTCATCAAAACCACAAAGAAATAATTCTACTATTTTAGCAATTTATTGTTTGAACCTATACGAACGAAAGGTTGTTATCTTAGTAGCGACAACTTTGAATTTTGCATAATGATGTAGATATCTCAGGGATGTTGTTTGTTTGTGCCTTTGTGTATTGTGGTATGGTTGTGGTGAGGTCGGTTAAACTTGCGGATTAGTATAGTTTGCGCAGATGTGATAAACTGTATCATTAGTTTTGTACCTTAATCATGCTTGGTCCTAGTAAGACTCTGAAATACGTTGATTATATTGTTGTGCTTACAGTTCGTGTTAATTACATTCTTAGTCGAAAAAAGTCAAAAAAGATTTTTGCTGAAGAAGCACATAGAATTATAGATAGAACATTAGTTAATATTTTGTGTTGTAAATTTCATGAAGAGCGCGATAAAATATTTGGTGAAATTTTGATTAAAGCGTTACCGAATTATTTAATTTTAGTAATGAAAGCTTTCGGAATACTATAGTTCAATATAAATTGTTTAAGTACAGCAATGCTAGGGATTAATTTTTAAACAAATTAAATCTACAAATTCATTTTTATCATTTTTTTATGTATTTAGGTTTCTTTTTTTCTTACAAATATACTTAGAAGTGCTACAAATTCTGTAACTACATAGGTATTTTTTTTCTGCTTCAATAATTGTAAAAATGCAAAACTAGAATTAAGCAAACCACGATAAATTTGAATTTCTTCGTGTCCTACATAGGAAATTAATTGACAAAAAATACAGTTTCAAAGTTGGCGCAGTTGGTAGCATTGTTAATGGTGCAAGAAGCCATAAATTATTTCTAAATTCGATTTTTAAAGTTTTGACTCTAAATTGCTCTTAATTGTTTATTTGATTTCTTTTTTTATCAAAAAATTCAAACGTGTTTGTATATACTCAACATATCAACAGAATTATGGAAACTTTACATCATGTGTGAAGTTAAGATTATAGTTATGACTAAATCGTTTTTGTCTGTTGGGTAGCTTGGAATTATTCACTTACCACATTTTATTTCTAAAGATCACATCTTTTACATCAAATTAGATATGATCTGATGGTTTTTTCTGTCATCTCGACTGTGATACTAGAATGTAGTAAACTTTTTGAAATAATTGGGTTTGATCTTGTTGACAGTCAGCTCTTGTTTCTGATTTTATTTTTACTATTGTCTTTTCTCACGGATTTACAAGATAGAAAGTGATTGTGGATAAATATTATTGGATTCTAATTTTAGGAGATGCATGCATTGGTCAAATTCTTGTTTCACATCAACCCAGTAAATTTCAAAGTCGTTGCCACATTACTTTGGTTATTTGATTCAGTCCTGTCCACACTGATTATATGGAAAGTGCCGTGTGAGTTGATTTTACTCAAATATTACTTTTTGCATCAGTTTGAAATTTATCTATTTCATTTAATAAATCTGAGTGTGAAGGATCGACATGATCTGGAAAAAATAAGCATCTAATTATGCTACAAAATAGTTTGCAGATACTGAGGTTGATTGGTTAACCTATATTCAGCAAGTAAATCGCTTTGAACAGGGAATACGAAATTATTCTGAAATAAGGGGTGACACCGGTCCAATAGTGTTAGTCTTCTTCGATATTTTTTTGTTGATGGTTTTTTAGTTCCTAAAATTATAGAGTGTTACTCAGATGGTTTTAAATAGCATTTTAAATTTATCGTTTTTTCACTGACAGTTCTTACAATTTTCCTTTTTTATTTTGAATGCTAGTTCTAGTTAATCGATGTTGAATTTAAGAAAAAAACGTTGATTTGCGTAATCAATGCAAACATGGATATAGTTTGTAGAGAAATAGTTTGTAGAAAAAAAAGTTCAGTACTTACTTTGTTTCGGGGGTTTGCTAAAAATATTTGTTTTTATCTTAAACATCGTACCAATCGTTTTCATTTATTTACAGGTATCCAGCTGGTCATATTTGGTTCTATCTTATTCTTTCTCGTATAACTAATGGTGGACAAAATATTCGTTTAGCACAATATATTTTTCAGTTTCTCTACTTGGTAACCATGATATTAGTTTTTCGTATATACTACATGAGTTATAGGGTAAGTCAGACTTTTCAGTATCTTAAAGTTCGTTTTTTTATATTTAACAGAAAACTAATTAAATGAGTAATTATTAAATCATTAAAGTCAAGTTTTAAAGAAATTTTTTTATGTTGAGGATGTTAAGGAAGGTAGAGTCTCTTAGATAGTGATTCTGAAATTTGTAATCCTGTGAAGTGTATTGGTTCAAAAATTTTAAGGAATGATTCAAATAACTTCATAAAGAACTTGATACGATGATTTGAATTTATGTATCTCAGCTGAAGCTCTTTTCAAGTTTTCTTTTTAGCTGCCTCCATTTGTTCTCATTATGTTGTGCTGCACATCATATCGAATTCATTCCATCTACCTTCTTCGATTATTCAATGATCCGGTCGCAATGCTACTTTTCTACATAGCTGTTAATTTATGGTTAAGCCGTCACTTCTGGCTTGGTTCTGTGGTCTACAGGTCCTCAGTTTATACAGTTTGGAGAATTTAGTTGTCAGAAATTTTCTATTGTTCAAAAGTTTTACAGCCTCATCATTGTTACTCTTTGCAGTTTGGCTGTGTCTGTGAAAATGAACATACTTTTATTTTCTCCAGCTGTTTTGTTCGTTCTTCTTTTCAACACAGGTTATTGGAACACATTACAAATTATATTTTCATGTACTGCAGTTCAGGTAAATAGCTACTGCTACTAAAGAATAGTTTTATGTCACTCCTAGTTCAGTGTGTGTCTAAAGTCTAAAAAAATAGTGTACAACTAGAACAGAAGTAATATATATATATATATTACTTCTGTAGACTTTAGTATCAATAGTATATATATATATATATATATATATATATATATATAT